GGCCTGTACTCTAGTCTGTGAGTGACCACAAGCACTTTTTTCTGCCCTGGAATTATGAGGATTCTCTCTCTACTGCCACCATAAGCTCCACCATACCAATACTCCTCCTCAACCCAGGACTGCTACCCAGGACTGCAACCTAGATCCAAGCACGGGCAAAGCAAGAGATTCTTGCCTCAGTGCAAGCAAAAAGATCCCTGCAATCACCCCTCTGATCAACCACTGGATCTCCCCACCATCTGTGGGCCAAGAGCTCTGGAAGCAGCCTCTGCCACAGCTGCCACTCCAGGGCTGGGGCCAGACCATGCTCCTCTCTCACCCAGGTCCAATAGACCTTTGCTATTGACCTTCTAAGTTGTCTTTGCATTTGTGGGTTGAGAAGTCTGGAAATTGCTACAGTTGCCAGTGATTCAGGCCCCTGAGGCCTGTTTCAGGTTTGTTGGGGCCCAGTCTATGCTGACATGTATTGCATTTGACTGAAAGAGGAGCAACAGATCTTTCCCGTCAATCTTCCAGGTTATCTTGGGCTGGAAATTTGTTTCACTCTGTCATTTTGTGGGTTCTGCTTCTGTAGAATTTGTTTAGAGTCATTTTTACAGGTATTTGGAGGGGTTTGGAGGAGAGCTCAAGGAAGTCCCTGATTTTATTCAGCCATCTTGGCTCTTCCTCCTCTCATTTAATTTCTTATGCCTCCCTCCCTCCCCAGATATTGAAACCAAGATGGAGAAAGTCAAGATGTGGAAGAGATAACTGTAGTTTGAGAGGGAGAGCACAAGTATTTGGGAGAGAAAGTCTTCTTTTGGAAGATGGCGCTTGAGGCTTAGACTTAAAGGAACAGAGAAACTCTGAGGGAAAGTTAAGGAAAGAGGGCATTGCAGTCATTCAGCATGGCCAGAGCAAAGACACAGAGATGGAGGGCATTGTGGGAGAAGCAGCAAGAAGGCCAGTTTGGCAAGGTGATAAAGTATGGGAGAGGGATTAATGTCCAATGTAATTGGAAAGACAGATTGGAGTCAGCTTGTGATTGGCTTCAAAAGGTAAATAGAAGGGCTTATAATTTATCATTGAGGCAATAAGAAACCATTGAATATGTTGAATAGGGTTAGATCTGCACATAAGGAAAATTATTTTGGCAGCAGCACACAGGCTAGAGTGGAGTGGTGAGAGACTTGACCAGTATTTTCCCAATTTCCAAGCAGGAAAACTTTAAAAGTTTCTTAGGACAAGAGCTGAAGATCACATTGTCTCTACTGGAAGGCTAGGATTGGAGGCCTTGCACTCTAACCTCCTCCACTATCTTCAGATCTAGATTCCAGGACTTAATCCACTATATTTTGGTTTTGTTGAAGACAGTTCCGGAAGCTTTGGTGAGTCAGACTGGCTGGCAGGCAAAGCAGCTTCATTAGCCTTCCTCTGGGTCAGTGTCTAATATCGACAAACAAGCATTTATTAAGCTCTATGTTCCAGGCATTGGTCTAGATGCTGGGGATATAAAGATAAACGTAAAATAAATCTTGCCCTCGAGGAGCTTATATTCTAAGGGGAAGGAATGGTACAGTATTCACATATATAGGTGCATGTATGAAACATACACAAGGTAACTGGAGGGATGGAAATTGCAGCTGGTGTGTGAGGGGAGGGAGGGCCAGAAAAGACTTTATGCAGAAGATAGCATTTGATCTAACTCTTGAAGGAAACTAGGGATTCCAAGAATAACATTACTATGAATTGTTAGCCTTTGATTTTCTTTCTTTTGTGTGTGTGTCTGCTTTGGTGTAAGCCTCTTTGTTTTGGAAACCTTTAAAGTGTTATATAAATGATATGGTTACTATTATTAATTATTACTGTAAATTTGGTGAAGATCTGTTTGAAGATTGACCAGAATCATTGCAATACAAGTTTGAACAATGGGCTACTAGTATTCTTCCTAGTGCATATTCAAACACTAACGTGGTCCTGTTTTGAATGTCTGTGAGGTCGCCAGAGCCAGGGTGCATTTTGCCTTAATTTAATTGTAAGTGGGGCTCTGATGTTCCTGTCCAATCTGTAGAAATTGTCTTTCTAGTCCTATAATGCCCTGCAAACCTTGGAACAGTCACAAATATCTTACAAAACAAAGCAAAAAACCTATCACTTTTTTAAATTTAATAGCATTTAGGGAGGAGTGGTTTAGGGTTGGAATGAAGCTGTAAATACTTCTTCCATTTGTCCAATTAAAACCCACTCCTTTAAAGCATAGTTTCAAGATAATCACTTTTTTTTTGCAAAGGAAGATGGGACAACATTCCCATCATCATCAGAATCTCAATTCCAAACTTCTCTATGAAGTGCCTGAATAAAAAGAGAATGTTTAGCAGATCTAGAGATAGATTTTCATGCAGAAACCTTAAATTATTCTTGTTTGTCTCAAATGAAGCTTTAAGTTCCAGAAGGAGCATTTCAGAGTGCCAGGCTAGCCATAATTATTTTAAGTGACCAGTCCAAAAATTCTCCAATAAAACTTATTTAAATTAAGCTAAAAATAAAGAAGATTCTCTTAAAAGGGAAAAAGAAAAACAAAGGAGTTGAAATGGCATGAAATGAGAAAAGAAAGGCATCAAAAAGGAAAAAAATACATAAAACACCAGCTTACAAATAGTTTGTTTGGAATTTCCTGTTATTAACATAACATTTTTTTCTTGTTCCTCCACCTAACATACTAGTGCAAACAAACAAAATATATATATGGAAATAATACCATATATATTACAAAAACAGTGCTCAAGTACTGGTCCAAGGTGGTAGAACTCTCTAGTACTATGCTTCTGTCCCTCATCCCCTAGAGTTTTAGAGCCCAAAGAGACCTTACATGTTATTTATTCAACTTCTTATTTTACAGAGAAGAAAAAAAAAGGGTAGTATCATTGAAGTGATTTGTCCAAAGGCACACAGCTTGGATCATAGATCAAATGATCTATGAATACACTCAAACCAATCTTAGGAGTCATTTAGTCGAACTCTCATTTTACAGATGGAGAAACTAAGGCCGTTCATGTTTAAGTCAGCAGTTCTAAATCACACAAGAGGTAGAATAGGTAGCAGAACATAGGTTCTGTCACACTATCTCCAATACTGCTTCCATTGTGCCCTGCTGCCTATAGTTATTTAGATGAACAGCTAGAAATTGGATTTGTAACCATTGGGAACTTTTCCACACAATAACAGACCAAAACATCAAAGGTTTAGAGCTAGAGTCATCCTATATAGTGAGTTCATTTCACAAATGAGAAAATTGAGGACAGCAAAGTGGCATGACTCAAACAAGCTTATATAGTCAGTGGAAATAAAAATTCAAGCTCACATTCTCTAATTCTCAATCTTGAGTTCTTTTTACTCTTTTTGCACACTTGAACCTAGTAGATCAATAGCCTGAGAGCTTCCCTTTTATCCACAAATACTAAGAATTCATGGTATGAGTATGGAAATAACAGACCTAGACTTAAATCTTGGCCCTGCTGCTTTACTGTGCACTCTTGGGCAAGTCACAACCTCTGTAGACCTCTGTTTCCCAATATATAAAATGAGGAGATTGAACTACATACTATGAAAACAGATGAGACAGACATTCCGTTCAGCTTGGGACATTTAGGAACAACTTCATGAAGGAAAAGGTGTTTGAGCTAGAGCTTAAAGGATAGATAAGATGTCAACAGGCAAAGAGAAAGGTAACCTGGTACAAGTGCAGATTTGAAGAGAGAAAATTGGGGTGCAAATTCCCATTCTTCCATTTGCCTGTGAGACCTTGGATAAATATTTTAACCCCTCTAGGCTTGCTTCTTGAGGGGAGAAAGGAATAGACAACCTCTTAAAATTTTCCATCTTTAAATCCTATGATGGGGGTAAAAGGAGAGAGGGAACTATGTAAGGAAAGACCTTCAGATAGAGAATTATTGGAAATATTAGTCTAGCCTCAGGAGAGGAAAATGTAAGGAAATACAGTGTGAAATGAAACTTTAAAAAATTGATTGGAAGAAGATTGTGGAGGGCTTTGAATGACAATTTTGAATTGGTATTCAAATCTCCAATGAGATTTCTCTTTACTTGGCAGGGAACCACTGAAGTTTTTAAACAGTGGAGTGATAAGAACATCCTTTTACATCAGAAAAATGTATCTGGCAGAAGTGTGAAAGATGAATAGGGATCTGTTAAGACTAGAGACAGAGAGATGTACTAGGAGATAACTAAAGCTTTCTGAAAAAGATGACTACCAGGTCGGTGCTCTTCCCATCATAACATACAACCTGTCCATTATATCTCAATGCTCAAATTAAAAGGCAGGTAATGTTTTAGAGCACTCAGGAAGCATAGTGGGTATAGAAGGCAGCCAAAGGAATAGAGGAGGCCTGCAATTATATACTTTTAATGCTCTCATATTTTTTTCAGGCATTAATAATCTGGGCCTGCAATGATTTGACTTAATTTCATATTTTGCTTCTCTATGATCTCTAACTCTGTTTTTTTAGAGCAACATTAAGCAATTTAGAAACCCAAAGAATTCCATGCACTTTGGAAATTCAAACTCTGAACTCAGACAGAGCACTAACAAAGAGATAGGTGACAATACACTTTCCAGGAAGAGGTTGGTGACCACATTTAGCAAGTCAAATGATACAATCAACGTTTTCCTCAGTGGTAACAAGAATGGTGACAAAATGGTTTTACAGAAGCGAAACTTGAAGATTTTTAAAAATTAATTTATTTTTAGTTGTCAATAATCACTTCTATAAACTTTTGAGTTTTAAATTTTCTCTCTCTCCCTCCTGCCTTCCTCCCAAGATGGCTCTACCTATATATTCCTATTAAACGTTTTCGTGTTAATCATTTTGTAAAGAAGAATTAGAACCAATAGGAGGAACCACAAGAAAAAAGAAACAAAACAAAACAGAAGAAAAAAAAGAGCAAATAGCATGCTTCAATCTGCATTCAAACTCCATAGTTCTTTCTCTGGACGTGTATTAAACATTTGACATCATGAGACTTTTGGAGATGTGTTAGATCCTTCTATTGCTGAGATTAGATAAGTTTATCAAAGTTGGTCTTTGCACAAATGGCTGATATTGTGTACAACGTTCTCCTGGTTCTGCTCACTTGAAGACTCTTAAGACTGAAAGCTGTCACATAAGCAATGGGAAGTGACAACCTAGTTTTGGATATTCCACCTAATGCACCTTTCAAATAGTGGTATGATGCATTATCAAGAGAAGCATCACAGAATCAAAATGAGTGGAAAAGGAGGACCAAAGCTTTCATATCAGTATGTCTTCTGTTGTTTGTAGGGGGAAATTTTTGTATTTTTAATTAGAAAAAAATACAATGGCCTGCTCATGGTGTACACATTGTATCGAATTGCAAATAAAGGTGGGCCTGCTGAGGGGAGAGATGACAGCATTAAGAAGCAAAGGTAAGTTTTTCAGTGACTCCACATGTCCTCTGAGAGAGGAAAATCTTAGATTGAACCTGGAATTCCTGGCCAAATTAAAGTCAGACAGAGTAACTAATCAAATTCGTAACGCAGGTGCCATAGTTGCTTTTCCATTTAAGTCAGTTAACTACAGCTTTTCAAAACCACTACAAGGTAAAGGAGGAAAACATATTGAAGTATATTGGCGTTGGCTTCTGATTTCCCCCCACTCTCTTCCCTGCCTTTTTGGGTTTTTTTGGTCCCTTCGGTTTCCCCCTTTTTAGAGTGGTCCCTGGGATGGTTGATCTGGCAGCCCAGGAGAGCTCGGTTTGCTTTTCCTAGCAGAGGCTGGTGGGTGGAGCATAGAGCCGGTAGCCCAAAATACAAGTTTCTAAGTGAGTTAGGAGACGGGGACAGAGGGAGTGAGAGCCCAGGGGAGGCAAAACAGCAAGGGAAAACTCTTCTCTCCAAGGGAACAGCCTCGGCAGAGGGAAAGCTGTGGTGGGCGACCAGAAACGGAGCCAGGCAAATAGATACAGTTAACCAAAAGGCCAGGAAGAAGGACTGCGGTGAGTGCAGTATGGTTGAGTGGCATTCCCCTGGTCCACGTCTAAGCCTGAAGCATTACTTTCATTTTTCTGTGCTTGGAGAAAAGAGATGGTTCAAAGCTTATAGAGTGCAATAGGACAAAGAGAAGACTGTGAAGTGCGTTCGTGTGTGTGTGTGTGTGTGTGTGTGTGTGTGTGTGTGTGTGTGTGTGTGTCACTTACACACACGCGCACAGACACACAGTGAAATAGAAGCTGAGAAGGCAGGCTTCGAAAGAGCTGGCAATCTGGTTGCTAAAGGGTTCTCTGTTCCCCGCCCGCCCATGAGCAGGTAGGGTGGGAGACTAGTGCAAAGCCCCAGGAGGGCCATACACACGAGTGCACGGAGCACCAGAGGCCAGAGCAAGTATCCTAGAGTCCTCACTCTCCCTCCTCTCCCCCTCCCGCCCCTGACACCCCTCTCCCGTCCAATGCTTGCAGTCAGGTTTAGTGGATCGCGTCCTAGAGCCGCCAGTGATCCGGCATTCCGGCTCGAGGTCTGGGAAGATAAAAAGTAAGTAATCGCTGCTCAGCCCACTCTTCTGGCCTCCTGAGCTTGGGGTTCTCGGGTTCCGGGGAGTGCGCCTTCTCCCTGTCCCTTCTTCACTCCTGGCTCGGCTCGAGCTCGGATTTCAGCGCCTGCCTCCTCCTCAGGGAAGCCTCCTGCCCGGCTCCCCGCAGCAGCCCAGCTCGGCCCCTGCGCGGCCCTGACTAGGGTCTGGTTCCCACGCTTGGGAGGAAGGATGAGGGAAAGAAGGCAGTGCCCAAGCACCATGGGTCAAGGCTGAGAGGAGGATGAGAGAGGAAGGGGAGGCTTGGGCCCTAGGGAGATGAGGAAGGGGGCTTGGGAGGTTCTCAGCGTCCTTACCATCCCCGCTGACCCACGCTGGGTAACTGCGCTCAGGGCTTGGCCGTGGGAAAGTGCTGCCCACCCCCGGGCTACAGCTCGAGAGCCGCTCCAGACTCTCCACTCCCACATCCTAATATGAGGGCAGACCCACGGTCGCTTTCCTGGGCTTGAGCCCTGCTTTCCTCCCTGAGGAAGCTTATGAAAAGAAGCCCCTTAAAAGGCGTCGCGAGGTCCTTTGCACCTATGAGTGGGAGATGCATGCCTTGTGTCTGAAGCCTTCTCCTGCGTTTAGTTAGCCTGCCAAGGAATGAACTGCTAGCAACTTCAGATTTTCGACTATCTGCAGCTTTGTGTAAGCGAACCAGCCTTCTTTCTCAAAAACGTCAAGGTTAATCTGAGCTCTCAGCTGCCCAACTTCTTCCAACTGCAAGAAGGGCAGGGGTCAAAGAAATTAAATAGCTTTTAAGTGGTGGCCTGTCAAAAGCTGTATTTTGGTTTGGGGTCTAATTTAAGTACTTTGGAGATAAGCAGGGTGGACCCTTGCATCAGCAGGTTACAGTTTAGTGGTGACACTGAAAAACGGTCTTATTTGAATGTTTGTACATCTAGAGCCTGCAGACCCCGATACCTAATTGTAATTCTGCTAACTTCATGCACTTTTCCGTTGCCTTTTCTTTTTTTATCCCAAATTTTTTGACATTTTTATTTAAAGTTTTGAGTTCCAAATTCGCCCCTCTCTAAGACCGTAAGGAATCAGATATAGGTTATACAAGTGCAATTATGTAAAGCAGTTTCATATTAGTTATTTTGTACAAGAAGACCCGAGTAAAAGAAAAAAAGGGAAAGAAAGTGAAAAATAGCATACTTCAGTATGCATTCAATCAATGCCAGTTCATTGTTTTTCATTATTGCATTTTTTTAAAAGTGGCCGTTGCAACATCTTGATATATTAGAGGCATCTTGTCATTTTCCAACTCTTTGAAATTCTTGACGTTTTGAATGGCACAAGCTCTTTTAGAATTTGATGTTTCAGGGATGAGACTTCTGCCTAGTTGTGCCAGGGACTACCTGTTTCTGTCTTTGAAAAAAAAAAGTTTCTGAAAACTCCACCTGTGTTACTGGCGTCAGTGATCAACATTTATTGATAGAAATAGCTTTTGTAGTTTCTTCACACATAGAGCTAATCTGTTGCTATTTCATAGTTATTTATTTATTAAAATTACTGCTTAGAGTGAAACTGAATTCCACTGTTCCCTGGAGTTATAAATGAAAACACCCACAGCCCCCCTCCTCCAATCTCTAATTCAAAATCAGCAGCTACGGAGTTATATACTTCTGAAGGCCAAGAAAACTTAATGTGTCTTGAAGGGTACTGGAGTTCTCTTGTCATGTAGGACTTTTCTGAACAGGGAATTTGCACATACTTTTTTTTTTCAAGGTTTTCAAAAACTAAGGCCACGCGTATAATTCTTAGAATAATGAATTATCATTGTGTTATTACTAAGGAAAAGCATTTTACATGAAAATTATTCAGTTTGTGAGAATTTTTTTCAGGCATTAAAATTGGTTTACTTACAGAGTGAAAAGTTTGTGTTGCACTTTAGATACAGAAGGGCAGGAAAAAAAACATTCCAAGAAAATTTTTGTCCTTGTGTCAGAGAACTTTAAAAAATCTGAAATCAGTGAAAGAGTTACAGCCCTTATACTTGATTAGAGTGTTACATAATTAAGGCAAAATCTCAATTGCCTCTGGTTTCTTAGGTGCTGGAATTCCCACTACCTTGGGAGAGCCAACTATAACTGAGTGTCTTAATGAATTGCTGGAGGGTCAGGAAAGTTAAATCCATGCCCATGCTCCAACACACACACACACACACACACACACACACACACACACACACACACACACAGAAGGAGAGAGAGAGAGAGAGAGAGAGAGAGAGAGAGAGAGAGAGAGAGAGAGAGAGAGATGCCATGCTTCCTTTTAATTGTAATAGTAATGTGGGGGGAAGGGTGGGAGAATGAGATCTGATTTAATTTAGTCACATTAATTTTAATTAAACATACACTGTACATAAAACATTTTTCTGGGTTGTTGGGAGGATTAAAAATGTAATAGAAGTTTCTCTGTAATTCTCTGAGAAATGGATGCACACACACAAAAAAACTGAAACATAAGATAATATATAAGTGTATTATAGAGATGTAATTAAAAAGCTCTGTGAACTTTGGAGAGCCACTCATTACTTCCTGAATCAATTTGTGAAGCCTAGCTCAAGGAGGTAGCATTTTTAATGGGTTTTAAAGGAGGAGCCTGTCCATTTAATACATGGAGATAAAAGACAAGCTTTGTGATGTCTGAGTGTGAGTTGTCACTGCTTTAAATATTTTTTCATCCCTTGTTTTTGGCATAACATTAATATGAATTTAATGGAAGTACTTATTTGATTTTGGTATTTAAAACTCATATTCATATAGTGCTGTGAGTCTTAGATCACAACATTTAGAGCTGGAAGAGACCTTAATGTCACTGAGTACAAGCCCTCATTTTACAAGAAGAGAAAACTGAGATCCAGAGAAAGGAAATGACTTTACAAAGTATTTTCCCCATACAAGCTTGTGATAAAAGAAGTACAAGAATTATCTTCATTTTACAGGTGAAGAAACTGAGGATCGGAGAAGTCACCTAGTACCTCTCATATATACACTTAGAAAATCATCTGGGATTTGAACTCAAATCTCCTGAAATCTCCTAAATCAGTAGTCTTTCTATTGTTACTCTGCCAATAATGATAGGAAAAAAAGATAGAAATTATTTCATGGGTTCTTATTTCTGTTCTATTACTTCAGGGCTGGTTTTGAAAGCCTGTTTCAAAACTAATGTCACAGTAGACTCTAAACTTGAGTAACAGTAGTAAAATATTAATGTGAGCAGTTTAAGTTACTAACAACAATTGGATAACAAAGTACAACATGATTTGTCACAATCGCTTGACTTGGTGTTTTAGTTTTGTCACAAGTATTTCCAAAGCAAACAAACAAAAAAAATCTCAAGAATCTGAAAACAAACAAAATAGTATGGTGGCAAGAATATGAGATCTGGAGGTCAGAAGACACTGGTCCAATTTCCAACTGTACTATTTAACTACTTACATTAAATACAGCAAGTAATTTAGTTTCTTTATCAGCTTCAGTTTTGTCCTCTGCAAAATGAAGGGAATAATCTCTAAAGTCCCTTCCAGCACTAAATTTTCAATTTTGTTGATAATATGTGCTCTCCTATGACAGTGAAATATACACAGATTATCTAATGAAATAAAATCCTTCACTTTTCTTTGTCAATGGCAATTGAAAATTATTTGCATAAATATGGAAAGAATTCTGATTTTTTCAAATGCTAGTTAATTTGAAATAATATAATTGAAATACTTTAGATGACTTCTACCAAAAAAAAAAATCGTAGAATTTAAAGCTGGAAGGACCCTTAGAGACCACCTAGTCCAGCTGCCATAAACAATCGTCCAGACTAAGTGTGCACTATAGCCAGCTCCAAAAACATTAATCCCAATTGCCTCACAAAACAAACAAACAAAAAACCCTTGAAAAATTGTCCTTATATGTAATTGGGAAAAATAAAATGTTGTTTCAAATAAAACAAAAACAAAACAAAAAGGCAATTGGAGTTAAGTGACTTGCCCAGGGTCACACAAGTATCTGAAGCTGGATTTGAACTCAGGTCCTCTTGACTCCAAGGCTGGAGCTCTATCTACTGTGCCACCTAGCTGCCCATGAATCTGTTATTTTTTAATGTTTTTGGAACTGACTATAGTGCCATCTCTCCAAGCCTGTTTCCTTGCCTATAATACAAGAGGGCTGGACTAGATTAGCCCCAATATCTCTTTCCCAATCTAAATACTATGAACTCTCCTAGTTTTACATATGAGGAAACTCAGGGTCAGGGAGGTTAAATGATGTGGACACTGATTAAGGTAAAATAGAATTCTTACTACATGACCCTGTTTCTCTAATTAACCCATTTATACAGACTTTATAAAATTGGATAAGTAGTTATGTATTCCCCTAGAACTGGGGTTACATAGAATCATATAATCCAAAACGTAATTTCTTTGTG